CGAGAGCCACCACATGCTGGCCCACAGGGACTGGGTAAGCAGCCCGCAGCTGTCCACACCGTGGAATGGGCGCTCCTGGCGGGGTCACAGCCAGGGGCCAGGACGTGGGCGAAGCTCAACCCCGGTCTGTCCGGGAGACTGCAGTGGAGGGTGCCGGGCAGCAGCTGTCCCCTCTCATTGTAAGTCTCCGTTTATTTTTCTGCCATGAACTTTATTTTTTGGCAAAATAAAAGAAGCAATAATCCAGGATGTCGGTGGGAAGAGTTCCTGTTCTAGCTGCACTGGTTCTGAGTCCAACCAAACAGCATGGATTCCAGCAAGAAGCCCTGGCCCCCACTCCCACTCACCAAGACCCCAAAATTGTGGGCCATCCAAGGGGACCCACCGACAGGGCTGCAGTCGCCTCAGATGGCAGTGGACTCGCCACAGCAGCATCTACAGGCTCACCGTGAGGTCCAGCCTGTGCCCGCGGACCAGCTGCCCAGTCTACAAAGACACTTCCTGGGAGGTTCCCAGGACAAGGGTCATCAGCTAGGATCCCCAGGGAGCCACAGAGGCTCCGGCAGGCAGCTGCTGGCAGGCAGAGGGCAGAGGCCATGGCAGAATCCTGGGAAAGCTGGGCCCGGTACATCTCAGCACTCAGAAGCGGGCAGAAGCAAGCCCAGGCCAGGGCAGCAGAGGCTGGGAGAACATCTCCTCATCTCCACTCAGCCACGCAGGGGACAGGGTCTCCTAGAGCCCTGCGGAATCCTACGTCAGGGTACCCCATCTCCTACCGCCTCACAGGCAGCCCCACACAGTACCCTCTCAGAGGGCCCCGTCTCCCACCTCGGGGCACCCCCCAGAGGACACTGTCTCCTACCTCGGGGCACCCCCTCACAGGGCCCTGTCTCCCACCTCGGGGCACCCCCTCAGGACCCCGTCTCCCACCTCGGGGCATATCCTTCTGAGGAAATCGACCCCGTACTTTCGGGTGTACCCCCCCAGAGGACCCTGTCTCCCACCTCGGGGCACCCCGTCACAGGGCCCCGTCTCCCACCTTGGGGCACCCCCCAGAGGACCCTACTCCCACCTCGGGGCACCCCGTCACAGGGCCCCATCTCCCACCTCGGGCACCCCCTCAGAGGACCCCATCTCCTACCTCGGGGCACCCCCCCAGAGGACATTGTCTCCTACCTCGGGGCACCCCCCCAGAGGACCCTGTCTCCCACCTCGGGGCACCCCCCCAGAGGACCCCGTCTCCTACCTTGGGGCACCCCCTCACAGGGCCCCATCTCCCACCTCGGGGCACCCCCTCAGAGGACCCCATCTCCTACCTCGGGGCACCCCCCCAGAGAACCCTGTCTCCCACCTCGGGGCACCCCCTCAGGACCCTGTCTCCCACCTTGGGGCATCCCCCCAGAGGACCCCGTCTCCCACCTCGGGGCACCCCCTCACAGGGCCCTGTCTCCCACCTCGGGGCACCCCCTTAGAGGACCCTGTCTCCTACCTCGGGGCACCCCCCAGAGGACCCCGTCTCCCACCTCGGGGCACCCCCTCAGGACCCCGTCTCCCACCTCAGGGCTTCCCCCCAGAGGACACTGTCTCCCACCTCGGGGCACCCCCTCAGGACCCCGTCTCCCACCTCGGGGCACCCCCTCACAGGGCCCTGTCTCCCACCTCGGGGCACCCCCTCAGAGGACCCTGTCTCCTACCTCGGGGCACCCCCCCAGAGGACCCCGTCTCCCACCTCGGGGCACCCCCTCACAGGGCCCTGTCTCCCACCTCGGGGCACCCCCTCAGAGGACCCTGTCTCCTACCACGGGGCCCCGTCTCCGGGAGGGCCTGACCTCGCTCACAGGATGCCATCACCGGAAAGGCCCTGTGGGCAGCCTAACGGGCAGCAGCCACAAGAAACCAGCGGCGCCCAGAGAAGCCCCCTCAGTCCCCTCCATGATGACGGGACCCCTGGCTGATGGTGCGCGGTGGGCATTGGGGCCTCTCCGTGGTGGGCAGTGATGGACCGGCCCGGCCTGCCCGAGTGCTGAGCCAGGACTCTGGCCGGGGTCCCGGGGCCCTGGACAAGGACCCGAATCCAGCGGATGTGGAGGGGCAGCTGCGCTGGCAACAGTGCCCTGGGCCCTGAGAGGTGGGTGGGGGAGGGCAGCTGAGGACGGACAGGACTGCAGGGGCCCGCGCTGGGCGGTGACCGGGCTGGGGGTCTGCAGAGGGGCCTCCCCACCGCCGCTGCGGGGACGCCTGAGAGCAGACGCCCCGCTCGGTCCGGTTCTGCCAACAGAGGCGCACGATGGAGGACGAGCTGCTCAGATTTACCTGTGTATTGCTTGAACGTCAGAGAGAGAGACGGATCTTCCGCTCGCTGGTCACTCCCCAGATGCCTGCACAGCCCGGGCTGAGCCAGGCCAAATCCAGGAGCCCGCAGCTTCATCCGGGTCTTCCTCTTGGGTGGCGGGGGTCCAGGTCCTTGGACCACCGTCTGCTGCCTCTCAGGCGCATTAGCGGGAAGTGGGATTGGAAGCAGGGATTAGCTGTGACCCGAACCAGGCACTCTCACGTGGAATGGCGTGAACCAAGTGGCAGCTTCACCACTGAGCCACAACATCTGCCCCCACAGGACAGATTTTTTTTTAAATTTTAACAAAGTCTACGTTGTCGATTATTTTCTTCGACGGATTGGCTTTTATGCTTGCATATTGAAACATCATAAAATGCACATTCATGTCCAATTTACTCAAGAATGTTCATAGCCTCCCATTTTAAATACAAGCATATGGGCCGTTTTGAATGGATTTTTGCATAAGTTATAGGGTGTGTGTTTAAGGGTGTTTTCCCACATGGCTTCCAGCTGCTCCATCACCAACTATGGAACCGACTTTCGTTTCTCCACTGATCTCCGCCTCAGAGTCAGGACTGCTTGTGGGCTGTTTGGGGCTCCGTGCTCACCCACCTGTCCCCTCCACCCCCAGTGTCACATTTACTCCACCACTGTGGCTCCAGATCGGCGTCGGGATCCAGATGTGCCAGTTGCTCATGGGTGGCTGTGGCTGCCTTCTGGCAAATGTCAGCTGTTCTAGGATTTGAAACAGTTTTCTGGGGATTCAGAGCTTCACTGAATTTCTGTGTCAAATTTGAAAGAATCTTCATCTTAATAACACTGAGTCTGCCAATTCTGAATAATGAGTATATGACGATTTGTATTCGCTTGATTTTTTTCAACCATATTTCAAGGTTTTTCTGTGAAGAGTTAAAATTGTATATGTACGGGTGTCAAAAGTTAAGCTTAAGTTTACAGGTTTAAACCTTCCTGGTACAGCTGTGAAAATAAGACAGAGTAAAGTAGCACCTTGACAGTAGGGACTCCATTTTGGAGCACTTGAGACTGCATTCTGGGAAAGCACCCCCCCACCGTGAGACTCTGGTCTGAAACTATGATCTCAAATAGTCGGGCAATAGCAGTGCACTACATCACCCTTGGCAACGCACAAAAACCCCCTAGCATGATTGCTCAAGCTTAAAAGTAGAAAGGTTGCACCTGGGTTACCTGGGCTGCTAATGAAGATGTGATTTGTCTATGTCTTAAAATCATAATTGCTGATTGTAAGATTTTAGCAACCGCTTAGCAACCGTGTATTCTCTCCCTCCTCCCGATTTTGCGGTTTTTGCCTTTATAAACCCTATGCTGTAGTTCCTCACTGCTCCTCTGTCCTTGTCAGAGGGCCCCAACATGTTGGATCAATAAATTTAACCCTTTGCTGGTTGCATGAGAGAAAAAGTCTCTTGGAGTCGTTCCTCGGGCGGTGGGCTTTTTTTTAGACCCTAACATCTGAATACATAATTACACTGTTTTTAGATTTTCTGCTTAAGGGCTTCAGTTTTAGTGCAATCGTTAATGGTATTGCTTTTTTTTTTTTTTTTTGACAGGCAGAGTGGACAGTGAGAGAGAGACAGAGAGAAAGGTCTTCCTTTTGCCGTTGGTTCACCCTCCAATGGCCGCCGCGGCCAGCGCGCTGCGGCCGGCGCATCGCGCTGATCCGAAGCCAGGAGCCAGGTGCTTCTCCTGGTCTCCCATGCGGGTGCAGGGCCCAAGAGCTTGGGCCATCCTCCACTGCCTTCCCGGGCCACAGCAGAGAGCTGGATCGGAAGATGGGCAGCCGAGTCTCAAACCGGTGCCCACATGGGATGCCGGCGCTGCAGGCGGAGGATTAACCTACTGTGCCACGCCGCCGGCCCCCATGGTATTGCTTTCTAAGATGCTATTCCAGCGGTGGCGCTAGGTCGGCACTGAGGAAACATGGCGGGCCCTACGATCTCTTCGAGGTTGTACTCCCTGCTGTTCCGTCGGACTTGCACCTTTGCTCTCACCATCGTCGTGGGCGCCCTGTTCTTCCAGCGCGCCTTCGATCAAGGCGCGGACGCGATCTACGAGCACATCAACCAGGGGAAGCTGCGGAAACACATCAAGCACAAGTACGAGAACAAGGAGTAGTTCCCGGGAGGCCCCTCGGGGCCGGAAGGACCAGGGCTGCCCTCCGCCGACTCTGGCCCCCGAACCAAAGGCCTCTGCTTGAAGATGGAGCGCAAGTGAACTCTTCCTGGACCACCCTTAGCTGTTGGCAAGAAATGATGTCAGCTCCCTAACAGACTCTTTAATTTCTGCCGCGTGTGGAGTTTATTTAGTCAAAGTCATCAGCAAATAAATGTGAATTGTCCTGAAAAAAAAAAAATGCTATTCCAGTTCTCAAACTTCTATTTTTTTCCACGTTATGACTGACGTGGAGCAAATCAAGGGACTTTTGTTTCTCGGCCATGTGCTTGATTCATGCTGTCCCTGTCCGTTGGGATCAGGGCGCGGGGTGGAGGCTCCCTTCTTGTCGAATCTGCAAAGGCGCCGCTGGAAGTAATCGGAGCCTTGAATTTCAGGTTCCGCCAGGGGGCGCCCGACCACACACACAGAGCGCACGGAGCTCCCGCTCCGCGCTCCGCGGCCGCCAGGGGGCGCCCGACCACCGCGCGAAGAACGCCGAGTTCCTACGCTGCTCCCGCCGCCGCCAGGGGGCGCCCGACCGGCCCTCTCAGCCGCGGGAACGGAAGTTTGTCCTCCTCGGAACTGACCCCGGGAGACGCCGCGGCCTGCGGACACCGCGGGGCCGAGCCCATGGCGGGAACCGCAGCTTCGTTCTCCTCTGGACCGGGCCGGGGAGACGCCATCGGGACCTGACTGGCGGGGACTGGGAAAGACGCGGGAAGGGCGCGGGAGAGGCGAGGAAGGTGAGGAAGGTGAGGTTTAAGGCGCGAGTCGCGGCGAAGCCCCTGTCAGTCTTGCCCTCGCCCCCCAGGCACCGCACCTGCGGCGGGTCCGGCGCTGTTGCTGCGTGAAACCCCGGCTCAGAGAACTGGGAGGGAGAAGCGGAGATGTCGCCTCGCGATCCCGGAAAATGCGAGTGGCCCTGGGGTCCCGGAAAGTGGGGATGGTCCCTGGTCCCTGGAAAGTGGGGGTGGGCCCGGGGTCCCGGAAAGTGGGGATGGTCCCTGGGCCCTGGAAAGTGGGGGTGGGGCCAGGGGTCACGGAAAGGGGCCATGGGGATGGTCCCCCTGGAAAGGGGGGTGGGCCCCGGGTCCCGGAAAGTGCAGGTGGGCCCGGGGTCCCGGAAAGTGGGGGTGGTCCTGGGACCCCGGAAAGTGGGGATGGTCCCTGGGCCCTGGAAAGTGGGGGTGGGCCTGGGACCCCGGAAAGTGGGGATGGTCCCTGGGCCCTGGAAAGTGGGGGTGGGCCTGGGACCCCAGAAAGTGCAGATGGGCCTGGGGTCCCGGAAAGTGGGGGTGGTCCTGGGACCCCGGAAAGTGGGGATGGTCCCTGGGTCCTGGAAAGTGGGGGTGGTCCCGGGGTCCCAGAAAGTGGGGGTGGTCCTGGGACCCCGGAAAGTGGGGATGGTCCCGGGGTCCCAGAAAGTGGGGGTGGGCCCGGATCCCAGAAAGTGCAGATGGGCCTGGGGTCCCGGAAAGTGGGCGTGGGCCCGGTTTTGACCCCTGCGCTGTCCTGTTGGGAAGGGGTGGTCGCGCCGGTTTAAAATCCGGTTAGAAGGAGTAGCTCCGGGTTAGCTCTTGGGTGGTGGTGGTGGTTTTTACGATTTATTCACGCATTCGTTTATTTGAGAGGCAGAGAGAGGACAAGAGAGAGGCAGAGAGCAAGCCTGCACCGCTGTCCACTCCCCAGATGGCCGCAATGGCTGGGGCTGGGCCGTCCTCCTCTGGGGTGGGGGCGCTGAAGGCAGGAGCCGGGGAAATGTTCTGGGTTCCAGGGCCCTGCGTGGGCGGCGGGGACCCAACCCCAACTTCCCTCATCTCTGCCTGGAGGCAGCAGCCGGAGGTGGGTATCAGCGTGGGACACGGGCGTCCCGGGCACCAGGCCGGTGTCCTCTCAAGATTCCCCTGTCCCTTGGCCTGTGTTGATGGCCTAGGCCATTCAGAGGTCAGAGGTCAGTCCCCATGGACGGGGCTTTATTTCTATGCTCTGTGGGGTTCCCTGGATCTTCCTGTTTGTGCCACTTCTCACTCCCCTGATCGTCACTGCGTGTCGGGGTCTGGAATGGGGCAGTGTCAGTCTCCTCACTTAGGTTTCTGTTTCCGGGACTACTCTGGCCACTCGGTGTCCCTGGAAGTTCATGTCTCAGGTGATTTCCCAGTGCACGGCCGTGTGTCCGAGGCTGTGATGCCCGTCAGCTCCGTGCTGCGTTTCACAAAGCCCCAGGTGTCGCACTGCGAGTGAGCTCCGTCTCTGCGTTTATCTGGATTTTCTGTGACCATTCCCTGATGCTCTGCGGTTCCCAGTGTGACTCCCCCCAGCCCACGCTCGCTCCTGAGCGCATCACTGCTGGGCCCTTCCTGAGAGTCTGTCAACTTTCCTGACAGTTCATTCCTGGCGTGGGATGCGTGGCCGTGGGCTGGACATTCCTGGCTGGGGTGGCTGCGTGGCCGTGGGTAGCGCCGTGTGTGTGGCCATGTGCATTCACCAGCTCGGCACCCTGGTGTGCCCTTATTGAGACGTTGCCTCAGTGTTTGGACGTGCACTGCAGAGCTGGACCAGAGGGGACCAGGGTGCCCCTGCCCTGACCCTCAACTCAGCTCAGAGCTTGCAGGGAGGCACGGAGGGCAGTGTTTGCCCTAACACTGTCATGTAGAGGAAATTCTCTCCCTTTTCCTAAAACACTCGTGTATTTTATAGGAAAGGGAGAGTGATAGAGAGAGGGAGGGAAACAGAGAGAAACAGAGAGCGAGAGAGAGAGAGTCTTCCACACCCTGACTCACTACCGCAGTGCCCACAGTGCCAGGACGCAGCCAGGCAAAGGCAAGGAGCCTGGGCCTCTGGTCCCCACTCTAGGTGTTGGGAGTCCTGCGCTGAGCCACCATGCCTGCCTCCAGGTATGATACAGAAGCGGGGTTAGACTGTGGAGCGGCTGGGATCCCCTCTGTACCTGGGTAATGGTCTCTGTGAAGCAGCGCTGCCCTTGTGGGAGGACCAGGGGTGTTTCCTGGGGTGGTATCTGTGACTGTGGTGCATCGGTCACCCTTGGTGAGTCCAGCATGCGAGGCTGAAATGTGCTGCTGTCGATGGTTTATCCCTGCAGGTCTCTCAGGTGATGTCACGTACCTGAGCTTGTCACACAGGGGGTGGGCTTGACTTTGAGTGGCAGCTGTCACACAGGGAGCAGGGGCTGCAGTTGCACAACTACAGGGGGGGAGGAGGAGTTTGAAGAGCGACTGCAGGGAGCCAGGGAAAGGTGGAGTCCGGGCTGTGAGTGGGGTCAGGACCAGGGCTGTGGTCAGCGTGAGGACATCATGATTCAGGGCCAGGTTAGGGTTAGGGCTTAGCTTAAAGTCATGTTGTGGGGTTTTATTGTGACAGATTGTAATTAGGATTAGCATTAGAGGTGGAACTGAGGGTCAGGGGTTAGACTTAGAGTTAGGGTTAGGGTTTCGGTTCCTGGCAGCAGCTCCCTGCTCATGCACACACCTGGCACTGTCAGGCAGCAGGATGGCTCCTCCCTCCCTCTCTCTCTCTCTCTCTCTCTCTCCCCACAGACCCTCTCCTCCCCCCAGCACCTGGGATCCTCAGCCTCATTCTGTCGACACCCAGCCTGCATCCAGACTGACAGCTCACCTGTCTGTGCACCTGCTCAGGAGCTGTCCCCTCTGGCAGCAGGCCCGTGTGTCCATCACATGCCAAATGCCCGAGTAGCCAGGTCCCTCCTTAATGGGCCTCTGAGTGTCCATCACACTGACCCCGAGGTGCAGCCTGCCCGGGCTGGCCGCCCATCAACCTGCAAGAATGACAGCTGGGGCCGTGGCGTCTGGCCTAAGTGATTGCTCGCGTTGATTCTAGTTTATTATTTTTATTTAAAATGCAATGAAATGCAATATGATCATTATTTCTCATGCATTTAAATGCAATCGTTAAATTATTTTAATGCATTTAAATGCAATCGTTAAATTATTTTAATGCATTTAAATGCAATCGTTAAATTATCTTTAATGCATTTAAATGCAATCGTTAAAGACCCCATAGCTTTTTTTGTAAAAATGTGATATTCTTATTATTTTTAACGCCTTTAAATGCCATCTCTAAATGCCCTATAGCTTATTTGCTTTTTCATAAAAATGTGATATTCTTACTATTTTTTATGCATTTAAATGCAATCTTTAAATACAACATAGCTTATTTTTTGAAATATGCAATGTTATTATTTTTAATGCATATAAATGCAATCTTTAAATATTCCACAGTGTATCTTTAAAAAAGCAATATTATTTGTATTAATTCATTTAAATGCAATACTTAAAGGCCTCCATAGCTTTTTTTTTGTAAAAATGTGATATTATTTCAATGAAATCAAATGCAATCTTTAAATGATTTTCATGCAGTTAAATGCAATCATTATTTTTAATGCCTTTAAATGCAATCTTCAAGTACCCTATAGCTTATTTACTTTCTTTAAATATGCAATATCATTACCTTTAATGCATTTAAATGCAGTCTTTAAATGCCCCATAGTTTATTTATTTTCTGTAAGAATGCGATATTATTTTTACTAATGTGTTTAAATGCAATCTCTAAATGATTTCAATGCATTTAAATGCAACTATTATTATTCTTACTGCCTTTAAATGCAATCCTCATAGACCCCATATTTTTTAAATGTACAATATTATTCATATTACTTTTAATGCATTTAAATGCACTCTTTAAATAAATATCCCATAGCTTATTATTTTGTAAAAATACACTATTACTATTATTTTTATTGATGCACTTAAATGCAATCTTCAAATTATTTTAATGCATTTAAATACATATTTAACTTTTTTATGACATAGCAATCAAATGCAATATTATTTTTAACACATTTAAATACAATCATTAAAGACCCCATAGTTTATTTTCTGTAAGAATGTGATATTAATATTATTTTCATTAATGCATGAAATGCAATCTTTGAAGACCCCGTAAATTAAATGTTACTATTTTTGAATTTTTAAAATTATTTTTAATGCCTTTAAATGCAATGTTTAATAATTTTAATGACTTAAATGCAATCTTTAAATACCCCGTGGCTTATATATTTTTTGTAAAAATGCAGTGTTATTAGTAATTTTTGTGCATTTAAATCAATTTAATTTTTATGATTATTGCAATATTACTTTTAATGCATTTAAATGCAATTTTTAAAGACCCCACAACTTATTTATATTTTTGTAAAAGTGCAATATTAATTTTAATCCATTTAAATGTAATCATTAAGTGATTTTAATGCATTTAAATGCAGTCTTTAAATACCCCATAGCTTAAATGCAGTATTATTTTTAATGCATGTAATGCAATATTCTATATTTTATGTGATTTTGCAGTATTATTATTTTAATGCCTTTAAATGTAATCATTAAGTACCCCATATCTTACTTATTTGGTTTTTTTATTAAGATTTATTTTATTTATTTGAAATACAGAGTTACAGAGAGAGGGGGAGAGAGAGAGAGAGAGAGCGCTCTTCCATCTGCTGGTTCACTCCCCAGTTGGCCACAATGGCCTGAGCTGCGCCAATCCAAAGCCAGGAGCCAGGAGCTTCTTCCGGGTTTCTCATGCAGGTGCAGTGGCCAAGCTCTTGGGCCATCTTCTACTGCTTTCCCAGGCCACAGCAGAGAGATGGACAGAGTGGAGCAGCCAGGACTCTGGTGCTCTGCTAGGTCACAGTACCGGCCCCTCTACTTTTTTCATGCAAAAT